TTAAGGTGTCTTCCCTCGGTGTGGAAATTGTTTTATTTATCTGTTCCCTGATTAAGTGTTGTTTATAGCCAAGTGTTGTGAATTGTTACTCAAGATTTGTTTTGTGTTTAGTTAGTTTTCCATTGTTGGAACATATACTTCTGCGTCCAAGTGATTGTGAATAGGGAAGGTGTTAAATTTTAGATAGTTGTGGGTGTCGGTGATTTCAGTGTGCGTTATCGTCCCAGGGGGATTAAGAAAACCTTTAGATCACTTCTTTATATATCGTATATGCCGATGTATAAGCCGACTTCATTTATAGTGCCCCCCCCATTTTGTCTGAATTTTAACCCCTCCAGAAAAATTAACTTTGTATAAGGCAACCCCGAGAAATGAATGATTTAACCTCGTCAATAATATTTTACCTGTGTATAGTGCGCCCCTCCATGTTTTACGTAAGAAATGATCATAAAAACTCGCACTCTACTCGAGTAATTACGGTATTTATTTATTTTTCATATTCTTTACTTACGTATTTTTCTTTGCTTCTAAGTTTTGGTATGTGTTATGGGATTTTATTTAGTCATTTTGCTCATGATTTATATTTACAATATTGTAGCAAGAATTTATTTTCGGGCCTGCATTTTGAAATTAGCTCTGATTTCTTCGTTTTGGAATTTGTCTTGTTTTAGAAGGTAATTACCGCTATGTTTTCTTCTAGGCAAATAATATTTCCTTTTAAGCTGTTTTATTTTCTGTTATTTTTGGTGTGTTTGTGTTTATTAAATGCTATATATACACGGATGTACTGTTTCCGTATATATATCTTCCAACTCAATATTCGACTCATCTGGAGTACTCGCACCTGATTCCCCCTAGAACATAGGCTATACTGAGTGATATGCGCATAACCCAGGTCACTGGTCTCCGACATCCTTTCTAAATTAGACTCGCATAAGGCAAGTGGAGGTGACGGGATACCAGACGTCGTCCAAAAGATATATGCTCCCGAACTGGCCCCAGTTCTTTCCAACTATTGCTAAGCTGCTTCCTGTTTTCCACCTTTTAATTCAGCGTCTCTCGTCCCTGTTTTTAAGAACTCTGGAGAACATTCTGATCCCTTTATTGCCCTATTAGTCTCCTACCGCTTTTCGGCAAACTATTCGTAAGTTTAATGAATGCAGAAGTGGTTAAACATCTTACATCTCACGGCCTAATCACTGACAAATATTATGGCTTCCGTTTTGCCGAGTCCACCGTTGATGTGCTTACGGCCATCACTGATTATGTATATCAAGATTTTGATAAGTAAAAAGGCCAAGCTCGTGCTGTAGCTCTAGATATCTCAAAGGCATTTGACAGGGTTTAGTTTCCGGGTCTTCTACGAAAGCTTCAGGTCGATTTAATCAAAACCATTCTATCGAATCATGAAATGTATGTTGTCTTAAACGTGCTCGCTTCCAGCCTTCATACAGACGGGGGTGTACACCAAGTCTCTATACTGGGTCCTACGCTGATTTTGATATCAATTACCAAGTAGGTATTTATGCAAATTACTAAAATTTACTCCTGTCTCAATAGAAAATCTGTCAGAGCTGACAAAGTTACCTGACCGCTGCTCTTGAACAGGACCTCCAATCAGTGGTTAATTGGGGCAAGAAATGGCTTGTAAATGTTAATGTCTCCAAAATTAAACTGCTCTCATTTAACCACCATAGATTAACTTCCCTGCCCGCCATCAGCATGGCTGATGCTCGACTTCAGAAGAGCGTCTAACTGCGTCTTTTTGGTCTCACGTTTTCAACTGACTTGAAGTTGAACAACTACATTGAATCAATAGCTGCAACTACTTGAAGGAAAATTGGTTCATTGTGTCGTTGCAAAAGGTTTTTTCTCGTCAGAGTCATCTTGCACATTTACTTGTCTACCATTCATGAGTACATTGAATACTGCTGCCATATCTGGTCTGGTGCTCCTGTTATTAATCTCGAGGTTCTTGACAAAATCCAAAATAGGATCTCTAATATAATCGATCCTGACTTGGCATCTTGACTTCAGTCACTTTCTCACAGGCGTAATGTAGCTTCTCTCTGTTTTTTCTACAAATATTTTTATGGCAACAGCACTGACGTGCTTTTGCCCGCGGATACATGAATTTAAGTGTGCTACGAGATTGGCATCTAGGTTCCACCCTTTTACAATGGAAATAGTTAAATATAACTGCCACTTCTACTGCAACAGTTTGTTTTCTCACACTTTTTGACAGTGGATCTCCATTCCGTTTCCGTGCTTCCCTGATAACTACAATCTTCAAAAATTTTTATGCATCGTCAATCGCCATCTTCTGTTGATTTGAACCCCGTTCATCTTTGATCCTTACCTCAATACCCATTATACCCAGTATTTTCTCTCACTTTAACTCTCTATAGTCCCCTTCGTATTAGTGGCACTCCCGCTTTGCCTGGTGTGAAATGAGTAAAAAAATATTTTGAAATGGTCTTTAACACCTTCCCCGGCGTATATGCATATATATATTTTTTTTATCAAAAGTGCCTTTTTCAGACACGGTCGATTAAACACGTCGAAAACATAACGTTCAAAAACCAGCTACAGACGTGTTTATACGTTGATCTTGAAACGAGTCCAGTTGCCAACTCATATGTCTGGTAAATGTGTTAGCCATCGCTTGGGTATTTCAACGTGCCTCAGTTACTTAGTTTACTATATTAGAAATGTTTTCCTCAAATAATTGGCGGGGAAGGGGTTAACTATATAAAAAAACATAAACTCCTGAAATCATTATGATATAATTATTCTTTATTCAAGAGAAAAACGATTTTTCTTCATTTCCAATGGAATTTTACACTTGGTCCTCAAAGAAAAAAATCACCACATCCTTCGGTCCTGTACACTAACTACTATTTTCCGAAACTATTCTATTCTACGTTACGTAGAAAGAAACTCAGTGAAATCACATACAGTTTGACTTAAAGCCTTTTATTCTTTTTATCTTTATCTCACTTCCTTTTTTTTTAATTTTCTCCTGTTTCTAGTTTAGTTTCATAACACTCCCGAAAAACATGTTTTCTTTATATTTCACAAACTTGAAAAAACAAATCCTTATCTACTATCGTCGGTTGAAGGCTAGCAATTTGATGGGAACGTGTTGTCGATGATAGAAAAAAATGTGTGTGAAGTGGGAAGAGGTTAACTAATCAAACAGATTCTGTGATGAATATAATCAGAATAGGAAGATTCTCTCGTCCAAATCTCACTGTTCACCTTTAAATCTCTTCATTAAGGTAAGAGATGGTAAACTTGTCAATCTCTTCCAGCTTTCATTATTTTTATTTTTGTGTGGGCGCTTTCGGTTTTCTTCCTCTTCTTAAAACCTTTTTAAAAAGCGAAAGCAAACGGCATATAGCTTTACTAACAGACCCAGCCATACCAGTAAACTCCGGATGTTACTACTACTAATAATAATAATCTTTATATAAATACGAGTATATCTATATAGAGTGTGTCACTCTTGGTATCACATACTGAAAGGGAAACATAGTGACATAATAAAACAAAAAGGGAGGGACGTAGACAGACAAAATGCGAGTTGGATTGAGGCGGGGTCATCTTAGATCAGGGACGTCATGGATTGGTTTCTTGGTGAGAACAAGATATAAAAAAAATTAGTATTTACATTTATTGAACAATCTTTGTCCTAATCAATGGTTTTCCATTGAAAGAAATAAAAGAAAATGCATCCTGCCACTAATTACGGTGTCGACCGCTAGGCGTCTCTTGTTTTGATTTTGGATCCATGTTTACTATTTAAACGTGTGTCATCATTCTATGCATGACCGCCATCTTTTGTCCCTCTATAAGAGCAAGTGATAATTCTCATTTTCCAAGTTTTAACAGAACTTGATTATCTTCTCATATACTGAAGAGGATTAATTGGCCACAATTTCTTTCAATCATGGCTGGCTCAAAAGTGATGCGTGTGCATTAGGGTTGAGAGTAGATAAATGCAGGTACAACGATTGTGAGCAACCAATCAGTGAGTATCTGCTTGTCTGTCTATGAATGGTGACATCTTATAGGAGTCCGTGACTCAGGAGTTCCGAGATTAAAAAAAAAGATTAAGAATCACTGTCCGAGACAAAGGAAGTTGTACGTAATGTGGGGTTATTTTCCTGACCAAACGATCTGTTGCGAACATTTCAGTATTTTTATGAGACTATGTCAATTTTCTTATAACTGTCTGTAAATGGTTATGGCTTTA